GTAGTTTACTGTTACAGAATTTAGATAGTGGATATATGGGTGTTGACCATAAAATTCCCACTGAAGCATTTTATAATAAAATATTGAAGAAAACAAAATTGGAGAAAACTAAGGCTGCTTTACCTAGTTACTCCACTATTATAATTCTACAGTTCATTTACAATAGCATGCAGTACAAATCATCTTTTGAGTTTGTAAACTCCCAATCTCCTTAATGTTTTTCTTTGCACTTTCAAGTATGTTGGTTAGTTGGTTATGTCTAAAACAATAGAACAACTCTAGCCAATGGCTGAAATACCAAAGCTATTAAGAACATTAAGACAAATTAGAGAAAGATTAGAAAAATTATTAGTTTTTTAAAATGTGACAGATGATATTTAATGTTAATGTTGATAAGCATTAATGCTTGAAGAACCTTTGAGGGAGTATAAAGATATAGATGGGGATTATAAAGATTCTGAAAGGGATTTATAGTTTTCCATGGTTTGAGAGGAAAGCTAAAGATATTAAAGTGGAACTGAAAGCAGGGAAGAGATAAGAATATGGGTTTATGAGATGTACGTCTCTAAAGCAATAGTAGCACTTAAGTGACTAGAGGGCAAGGCAATGAGCAACATTTGATTGTTTCCTACTCTTTATGTCTTTGTTTTGTGAGATCCTGTCTCACTACATTGCCCAGACTGGACTTAAAATGATGTTAACTCCTGATGACTTCTACCTATGCCTCCTAAGTAGCAGGAATTAAAGGCACATGCCACTGCAATTGGCCAAACCAACGACAACAACAACAAAAAAATCAAACTTTTTTTTTTTTTGCTGTGGTGGAAATCCAATCCAGGACCTCATGCATGCTGAGCAAATGCTGTACCGCTAAGGTACACCCTCAGCTCATTAAAGCCTTTAATGCTGAATTAATACCATTAGAGCTAATGGAAAACTCCAAGTGGTGTTTGAAATTATTCCCTAAATGATGTGGTTCCATTTTCCATGATAGACATTCATGTAAAACCACAAACTTTTGGTCAAAATAAAGAGTGGGTATGGTGTTGTCATTAAAAAAAAAAAAGAGCACCAATTTGCTAGGTGTGGTAGTACATGCTTGGGGAGGTTAAGGCAGGAGGATCTCAAGTTCAAAGCCAGCCTCCCCAATTCGGCAAGGTTCTAAAGAATTTTTCAAGACCCTGTCTCTAAGTATAAAAATGGGCTGGGAATGTGGCTCCGGGTGTTCATCCTGGTAAAAAAAAAAAAAAAAAAAAGCCAAATTGATCGTCACAAGCAGTGCAAGAAATCTGCATATGTGCTGGTCACATGTTACTTTAGAATAAAAATTAACCCACCATGGTAAGTGACATTTAAAAGAATCCACTTTAATAGATTATATGGCAAGAGTAGGGAATCAAAAAAATACTGGAGGCTGGGGTTGTGGCTCAGTGGTAGAGTGCTTGCCTAGCATGCACGAGGTACTGTGTTCGATCCTCAGCACCACATAAATGTAAAATAATAAAATCAGTTTTTCTGTATCATTGAAAAAAAAGATATTGTGTCCACCTAAAACTAATAAGTAAATATTAAAAAAAATACTGAAAATGGTTAGTACACATATACACACATCTAAAATTGTAATGAAGCCAGCCATGGTGGTACACACCTGTCATCTCAGTGACTCAGGAGAAGGGAAGATGATCACAAGTTCAAGGCTAGCCTCAGCAATTTAGCAAGCCCCCGTATTAAAAAAACAAAAAGGATTGGGGATGTGGCTCAGTGGTTAAGTACCCCTGGGTTCAATTCCCAGGACCAAAATAAATAAATAAATAAAATTGTAATGAATAGCCTAATAAATCATGAATATTAGTATTGCTAATTTATCTATTCCCCCCTCCCCCTTTGGTGCTGGTGACAACTCAGAGACACTCTACCATTGAGCCACACTTCCAGCCCTTTCTATTTTTTGAGACAGTGTCTTGTTAAATTGCTTAGGGACTCTCTTAGTTCCTGAGGCTGACCTCAAATTTGTGATACTCCTGCCTCAGTTTCCTGAGTACCTGGGATTACAGGTGTGTGCCACCAGACCTGCCTAGAAATTACAATTTTAATTAATAGTAGTTTATGAGGATTAAAAAATATTTCTAAATTTGTCTTCCTTTAAACTTTGGCCAATTTTGCCTCTGGCAATGGGATCAGAATAAAAGCAATTCTTATTTGTAATGCAGCCCCATACCTTAGAATAGATGTCTCAAGCAAACATTACAAATAAGTTCTGAAATTAATTAACATTGAAAAAATAACTTAGCATAGTGTCAAAATTAAATCCTAGGCTCCGAATAAAAACTTCAGCAAATTCCTCCATCATGGTAACAGCTACAAAATATCAGTTGCTTTTTAAAAATTATTTAGGCCTAATTCATTTGGAGAAAGGAAACAAACAGCTACAGTGGCCATCTTTATTTTCTTTGACCTTATTCTCTATGATCCTGAGAAAACAGTGGTAGGTAGTAATCCTGTACCAAACTTGACAAGTATCTAAGTAAATATATTTTCTTTAAAGGAACTGATCACAGGTGTCTAAAATGAAGATGATTGTTAATAGAGAATCCCTAAGTATCTCTCTTAAATGTCCCAAGAAACAATTCTACAACATAATGAATGCTAGAATAAATATATTCCCATAAGATTTTCCAAGAAACCCGGCCATCAGTTGTCATGGAACCATTTTCATTGAAGGCATTTCTTTACCAGTTCCATTCTTTCATTTCCCTCTAAAATTATCTTAGTTGAGCTTCTGCAGAAGACTTTTCTGTTCCTAAAAGATGGCACAGTAGTCAGGAAGAGGCCTCTGGAGCCCAGCCTTTCCCTAGCTCTCCACTTAGAATGGCTATGTGCCCTTATAACTTAGCCTTTCTGTATCTCAGTTTTCTTCAATGCTATTTACCTTATAAGGTTGTTGTGATGATTTATAGATTAGTAAATAACTTAAGAATTTATACAGCAGTGCCAAGCACATAGTGAAGACTCAAAATAGTTTGAGCTCTTTATCACTCCACCTTTTCCATCAAACCAAATAGTATCTTCCTAACCAGTCTAGGGGATTACAATGGAAAACCAAGTTAAAGGTACACAAAAGAAATATGTTGGGGAATATTTCCTTATTAACCTTTTGCTAAGATATAATGATTTATGAATGCAGAGTAAAGACAGTATAATCAATTCCTAGTTGTTATATATTTATTTATTTTTTGCAGTACTGAGGATCAAACCCAGGGCCTTGCAAGTGCTGAGCAGATGTTCTACCACTGAACTACATCCCCAGCCCCCTAGTTATTATTTAATATGACTGTATATGTTTGGATCCATTTAGAAAATATTTAAAATTACTATTAATATTTGTTTTCTTTTAAATTTTTTATAGTACCACATAATTTTATAACTTTTTATTACAGCTGAACACTTCAGAATTGTAGTTCTGAGATAAATAAATTTGGTATGATTAAATAGAGAAAAATCTACTCAGAAAGTACAATATACATGAATTTATGGTACTTGTCCAAATATTATTAGCATACAAATTATTTTGTTGTTTCTCACATATAGAATCTAAAATGCAAAGAAAAATGGAATTTCTATTCAAAAGAAATAGAAGCAAGACTGGCTCCTATATACTAAAAATATAAGGTCTTTTTCTTAACCACTCTAGATATAAATATTAACTGTATGGGTTGATAACTTTTAGTTTCAGTAATATAATTCGATAAAGTATACAAGTAGACCTCTATAAATATACCCCCTATAATAATATGCAAAACCATTTTATTACAAAGCTACCAAAACCTTCTGAAAAACAAACTACAAACATAGTTTAAAAGAAATTTAGTTATAACAACTATAAAAGCAATTAATATCAACAAAGTTATTTGGCTTAAAAAATGAAGAGCAGTGTAATGTAAAATTTGAATATTATAATGCTGTGTTTTGAAGATGTAGTTTTGAGTTTTTTAATACAAGATACTAAACATTCTTTCAAAAATAATGTTATTTTATATATTCTAGAATTTTGAGCTAGAGCTCTAAAAAGAAAAAAAAAATTAAGCAGCAGATGAAAATAGGTATGTAGAAAGAATGGTGTAAAATATGATTTTTTACAAAATGTAATACTCTTCATATGTGTAAGGCTCAATATGAATATTTTTGGATTGTGAGTGTTGCATACCATGATTTTAAAAAACAAGTAGTCTCAACTCAAAATATAGTATTTCTAAAATGTTTTCACAGTTTTGAAGTGAACATGGTATAGGATACATTTTCACATCAACTTTTTTATACTGTTTTCCTTTTTCCCAGTACTGGGGATCAAACCCAGTGGTGCTTTACCACCGAGCTATATCCCCAGCCCTTTTTATTTTTTGAGAGTCTTGTTAAATTGCCAAGGGTAGCTTGGAGTATGCAATCCTCCTGCTTCAGCCTCCCAAATAGCTGGGATTACAGGCATGTGCCACCATGCCTGGCATCTATATTATTCTATCCAACAATTAAAAATACTCTTTGAGCTCAGAGAAGACAATGTATCTTTTGAATGCTTGATCTTTATATAAATTCTGCTTATGGGGATTTCAGACTGTTCTAATTTGAAATAGTACCTAAACTGACCTAATTTAGGAATTGACCTAAACTTGAACCAAAGACACAAGAGACACAGGTTTCAAAAAGTTTAAGTCTACTGTATGCAATTATATAGCCATAATTACTTTTTATATGAAAAGTGCTTTAGAGTAAAAAATGTTTTTGTAAAAGGTATTAATATTACTATATTTAATATCCAAGTGGAATTTTCTAAATTGCTTCCATTTTTACCCATTACCTTTGAAAAGTACCCTACTGCTACACTGTAAATAAAAAATGGTCCATAAAATGGTGACATTAGATAGCATAATTTTTAGTGTGGGCCCTTAAAGTGAGACCAAATCTTTATTATTCCAAAGCTAGATTTTATTTCTTCACATGCCCAGAGTAACTAATATCAACTCACATTTTCTATAAGCCTTGAAGAATTTTTATTTAACATAATGAGAGGTTTAATAACTTATATTAAAGACTATGTAGTATTCTTCCATTGCTGTTCACCAACTGTTTTTATGACGATAACTCCGAGATCTGGAATGTGACCGAAAATGAGAATGTTTTGCTGCTTGTGCTTTAGTTTCAGAATTGGTATACCCTTTGGGAGATTTACATGGGGATCTTGCTATGGAGTCAGAATGTCTTCCATGTGATCTTGATTTTGTTCCTGAGCTAGTCTGCTTTTGAGGTGAACTTGATTGTGATTTTCCTATTGACTTGGACCTTTTTTGTAAGGACTTGGACCTTGACCGTCCTCTAGAACCAGAATTCCTTCTTGGAGTTCTTGACTGCCTTGCTGAGGTAGACCGCCTTGGTAATGATTTGGAACGAGATTTAGACTGGCTGTAAGAAAATCGCCTGTGTCGAGACCTGCAAACATCCATAAAGTTAGAGCACATATTCAGACAAAACAATAGATTAAGAAACAACACTTTCAGGAACTTATATGCTTTGCATAACGTTAATTATGTTTTTAATAGGTAAGCTACAAGACACAATTCTTTTTTACTTTTGTGATGTTAAGGACTGAACCCAAGGTGTTTTGCCTACTAGGCAAGTACTCTACCACTAAGCTATACCCCTAGTCCTAAAAAAAAAAGTTCTAATTTTATTGTGCATGCTTTTGGTTTAAACACAAGTAATAAATTCATAATGTTTGTTACAGTAGAATATATGATTTTTACTTTGCTAGATACATCTTACAGATCAGTTTTGAAAAATATCCTGCATATTTAGTCAGGGTAAAACAACTCTTCAGAGGTATTAAAATCTGAAGGAAAAAAGATGAAAAATAGAAAAAAAGAACAATTATTAAACTTTAACAAATAATGCTCATTAAAAACAAAACCTAGCTGGGCGTGCATGCCTGTAATCACAGTTATTCAGGAGGCTGAGGCAGGAAAATCATATATTTTAGGCAACCTAGGCAACTCAACAAGATTCTCTCTCAAAATAAAAATTTAAAAAAGGCCTGGGGATGTAGTTCAGGCATAGAGTGGGCCCCTCGTTTCAATCCCTGGTATTGAAAAACAACAACAAACCCTGGATACAGGACCTCTGGGTTCTACCATGATACAGCAGCTTGTGTTACATCAATTTTGTTATAAAAAACATCTATCAAAATGCTTCACAAGCCAGGCATGGTGGTTCATGCCTGTAATCCCAACAACTCAGGAGGCTGAGGTAACAGGAGGATCAGAAGCTTGAGGCCAACCTCAGCAACTTAGCAAGACCCTGTCTCAAAATAAAAAAGGTCTGGAGATGTAGCTCTGTAGTCAAGTGCCCCTGGGTTCAATCCCCAGGACAAAAACCAAACAAAGTTTCACAACATTTATAAAACAATTATTTGAAGGCACTGGAGAACAAGCCTCATCTGTTTTACCAGGGCCACTGACCAAATGACAGCATGGGGGAATTAATCCTCAAAATGGCGTTTGACAAAGCTAATAAGACAGATTAATAGAATTCAGGACTACCCAAATAGCTAGGATTTGAGAGAGAAAAATTCCAGAAATAAAGAAATTATAGACTAAAAAGAACCTCTAAATCTACCTTCAAATTCTCCTGAAGTCACTGGCTATGATTAAGATATGAGCATGTAGGATGAGGCCAGCAAAAAAAACAGCACTTAGGATATTCAAGAACTGAACTAAAATTTTATCAGATGCACACTGCTGGAGAAATAGGAGTTCCAGTGACTAAAAGGTCAAGAATTCTTGCACAACAACCCAGACTTTCTATTTTCTTTTGCAGTACTTGGGACTGAACTCAAGAGTACTCTACCACTAGATGACATCTCTAGCCCTAATTTTGAGATAGGGTCTCCCTGAGTTGCCTAGGCTAGCCTCGAACTTGTGATCCTCCTGCCTGTCTCCCAAGAAGCTGGGATTATAGGTGTGTGCCAACCATGCCTGACTAACCCAGATTTTCAATACTACCCAAAAGGACGACATCCTTAGAGGTAAGGACCATATGCTTGGGTAAATCAAAGCCAAAACAGATTAACTTTCATAATGCTCCAAACCATACCTTAACAGGATCAAGGTGATATGTCAGTATAGTACTCTCAAGAAAGAAGAACTTCTTTTTTTGAGGATGACATGTAATGTCTCTATAGTTTTTCATCCACCATTTCCAACATTTTTTATATATATATACATACACACACACACACACACACACACACATATATATATATGTGGCATGTGGAAAAAATAGGCAAAAAGTAAATAAAGTAAGGAAAATAAGACAAAAGAAGACTCAAGTGATTTAGATATTTACATTATCAGGCAGGAATTTAAAAAATTACTATGACTCATATATTCAACAAAACACCAGGAAAACATAAAACAGGTGAAAAGATGGGGAATTTCAATGGAAAACTATAGTCTATAAAAAAGAAAGAAGTGGACTTTTAGAACTAAGAATATATGATGCCTAAAATTAAAAAGTCACTAAAATAGACTTAACAGTAACCTGGATATAGCACAATAAATACTAAACCAAAAGGTCATTAGAAAAATTCCTACTGAAACACATTGAGAACTGGGTGCAGTTGTACATTTCTGTAAACCCAGTGACTTGGGGGCTAAGTCAGGAGAATTGCAAGTTTGAGGCTAGCCTGGGCAACAAGAATACCCTGTCTCAAAGTAGGAAAGAAAAGGGGCTGAGGATATACCTAAGAAGTTTTTCACCCCTGATTTCAATCTCCAGTACCAAACAAACAAACAAGCAAAAAAAAAAAAAAAACCATAATGAAAGAAAATAAATTTTTAAAAATCCAGAACAGAGCACACAAGATATATGGTACATAGTCACACGGCCAAGAGGAATTACTCAATAAGGCAGAGCAATATTTGAAGAGATAGTGACCCAGAATTTGCCAAAACAAAGGCATTAATTTGCAATTTCAAAAATTTCAATAAATCCCAGTCAGAATAAATACAAAGAAAATTATGCTATTCACTTGCCAGCGAAACTGCTGAAATCCAAAGTCAAAGAGAAAAATTAGAAAAGCTGCCAGGGAATAAAAGACAAATTACCTTTTGCTCAAAGGAGTAACAATAAGACTGACTGCTGACTAGAGATATCAGAAAAGATAACGGAATGACATTCTTGGGGGAATGAGGAGGGAAAATGTCTGCCCATCTAGAATTCTATCCTCAGCAAAAATATCCTTAAAGTATGTATGTAAAATAAAGATGTTTTCAGACAAATACAAACAAACGCTGAGAGAATTCACTGACAGCAGACCTGAACTCTAATACTAAAAACTCTTCAGACTGAAGGAAAATGATCCCAAATAGAAATGAGTAAAGGAAGAAATAAAAATCACTGAAAGTATAAATATAATTGATGAAGAATATATAGAGACTTTCAGAAGTCACTAAATTTCATTCATGTTGTAGATAGTTGTAGAAAACAAAACTAGTACAACTAGTCCTAGAAAAAAAAAATCCCAATATAGAAATACAAAAGGATGTTATATTCGGTCTAAAAATAGATAGCTAAGGGCAATTTTAACTTTCTTCAGGCATATTTAGAGTTCCGATATATGTACTGACTGACATAAAGTCAACAAAGATTTATGGAGTACCTAATATGAGCTAGTATTACTGCTAGATAATGGGGATATAAATAAGGCGAAGAATTCATAGTCTAATAACAGCAACAAACTAGTTTTCTCTATATCTGCTGAAGGCAAAATAAGAGATCTTTTTAGTTCAAGGTAATAGCATATATGTTGTATACACTTACAGTGTATGTTAGTCTCATATGTATCCCAATCCATAGACATACATACGTACCACATATGAGTATACATATATACTCAAACACATAAAATCTGATGCTTATGAATAATTTGGGAACTAGACTAAGATTTGCTCTATAATTTTTAAAATAAGAAAAATGGGTTGAGGAGGTTAAGCAATGTTCTTTTAACTAGTACAAGCAGAAAAACACTGTCTTGAAGGATGTGGCTCTTTATACTCTACCCCTTACACTCTTAAGATGATTTGGGACAATTAATAGTCAATTTTGTTATTGTTTTTTCCCCAGCTAAGTGTCACAGACTTTACTTCCACTGGAACGCAGAAAATGATGTCAATATCTACATATTTAAATTAACCAAGAGAAAAACTAGTTAACCAAGGCTCTAATGCCTTTGGAAACAAATTCTTTTTTTTTTTTTGGTACCACATCCCCAGTCCTATTTTGTATTTTATTTAGAGACAGGGTCTCACTGAGTTGTTAAGGTGCCTCGCAGTTGCTGAGGCTGGCTTTGAACTCGTAATTTTCCTGTCTCAGCCTCCTAAGCCATTGAGATTACAGCACCACCTCTCCTGGCTTGCTTTTACTATTTTACATTCTATAAATATAACATTTTATTTTGAATACAGAAGCGATGTATTGTGGTCTCAATCTCAAGTGGCCATCCAGGTTCCTTAGCCATGGGGAAAAATGGATCAATCTTCATTAGATGCAAGGAAGGTTTATAATGTTATTAAATCAGAGAAAGGATAATAAAAAAAAAAAAAAATCAATCCTGACCTAGATTCTCTTGGCTTATAAAAGGAACTTAAAGCTTCCCTACTTTAAATATCTACTCAAGGATGGGCCAAAATCAAAGCATTTGGTTTATACCAGAGAAAAGATACCAACATAGTATGTAAGATTTGAGGGTTCTGACCAGGCCACATTTTCCAGCAATCAAGTGCTGGCGAGGATATGGGGTAAAGGGTACACTTGTATATTGCTGGTGGGACTGCAAATTGGTGCAGCCAATTTGGAAAGCAGTATGGAGATGCCTTGGAAAGCTGGGAATGGAACCACCATTTGACCCAGCTATTCCCCTTCTTGGACTACACCCAAAAGATCTAAAAAGAGCATACTACAGGGATACAGCTACATCAATGTTCATAGCAGCACAATTCACAATAGCTAGACTGTGGAACCAACCTAGATGCCCTTCAATAGATAAATGGATAAAAACAATGTGGCATTTATACACAATGGAATATTACTGAGCACTAAAAAATAACAAAATCATGGCATTTGCAGGGAAATGGATGGCATTAAAGCAGATTATGCTAAGTGAAGTTAGCCAATCCCTAAAAAAACAAATGCCGAATGTCTTCTTTGATATAAGGGGGCGACTCAAAACAGAGCAGGGAGGAAGAGCATGAGAAGATTACCATTAAACAGGGACGAGAGGTGGGAGGGAATGGGAGAGAGAAGGGGAATTGCACGGAAGATGGAAGGAGACCCTCATTGTTATACAAAATTACATATAAGATGGTGTGAGGGGGAAGAAAAAAAAAAAGAAATGTGTTATAGTAGATGGGGTAGAGAGAGGTGATGAGAGGGGAGGGGAGGAGAGGAGGGAATAGGAAGAGCAGCAGAATACAACAGACACTAGTATGGCAGTATGTATAAATGTGGCTGTATAACCAATGTGATCCTGCAATCTGTACACATGGAAAAAAAAGAATTCATACCCCATTTGAATCAAATGTATGATATGTCAAGATCATTGTAATGTTTTGAGCAACTAATAAAAAAAAGATTCTTAAATATATATATTTTTTTAAATCCTTTTTTTTTTTTTTAAATATTTATTTTTTAATTTTCGGCAGACACAACATCTTTATTTGTATGTGGTGCTAAGGATCGAACCCAGGCCGCACGCATCGCAGGCGAGCGCGCTACTGCTTGAGCCACATCCCCAGCCCAAGATTCTTAAATATTAAAAGTCTAAAATGTGGATGTGTTTCTCTCTTCTTGTTTCCCTTCCTTGTGACTGGATAGGAGCCATTCTACTTCACAGTTTTGCATTTAGAATTAGAGACTTAAGGCAATCACTAATTAGTTCTGGTATATATACACTATATAAGACTTTTGCTTGTCTCATGTCTGGGGGTTGAGGAATAGAGGGACTGGAAGTGAAAGTGAACAACCCTGACAACCAGCTTTAATTTGAAAGTATGTAGCTTAGATATACTAAATGTGGTCCAGGCCAACCAATCCAGTCAGAGAACAGGATGTTGTTTTAAACGATGATCCTTCTTCTTTTCTTTTTCAGTACTACAGATTGAACTCAGAGGTGCTCTACCACTGAGCTACATCTTCCCCAGGCTTTTTTATTCTTGCTAAGTTGTAGAGGCTAGCCTTGAACTTGTGGTCATCCTGCTTTGACCTCCCAAGTCACTGGGATTACAGGCATACACCACCCTTCCTGGCTACACTGATCATTCTTTTAGAATTCACCTTAAAATTCCCAAAATGCCCATGAAAAAATTAAAGCATTAAAACTCAAGATAAATGAGGTAAATATTCAAGAACTTAAGAATGCCACTACATTTTCAGTTATATTTCAACAGCTTCACCATATAATTAATTTCACTGCAATTTATTATTTAATTTTTTTTTCTCTTAGTTGTCAATGGACCTTTACTTTATTTATTTATATGCGGTGCTAAGAATCAAACCCAGTGCCTCACATATGCTAGGCAAGCATGCTACCACTGAGCCACAACCCCAGCCCCTGCAATTTATTATTATTCTATCAGAAATCAACTCCTAGTTAACAAAATAGATAACTTGCAAATCTTTCTCCCCCAAATTTACTATTTTGTTAATATCTTATAATATTGCCATACTTCGAATTTATTCTTGATAATAATTTATCTTTTGTAAGTAAATTGGTTTATATTAATTTAATTTATTTATTTTCTAGTACTAGGGATTGAACTCAGGAACATTCTACCACAAGGTACATCCCCAGCCCTTTTTATTTTTTATTTTGAGACAGGTTCTCAATAAGTTGCTGAGGCTGGCACTGTACTTGTGACCATCCTGCCTTAGCTTCCTGAGTTGCTGGGATTATAGGCATGCACAACCACATCCAGCCTATTCATGTTTTCATAAACCTCCTTTCACAAGTGGTTGCATTGTATTTCTTAAGTCTTTATTAATTTTTTAGAACTCAACATTCTGCATTTTTGGCCTTATCGAGGAAAATTTCTTTTATCTAAAATTCTTCCCCTTGTTTGCTAGGTAAGTATTTTTTTATTTTTTGGTTTTTTTCTTCAGTACATGGTGTCTTTCTATTTTAAACGTTAAAATTTAAGTCTGTCATGAAAAAAAGAAAAAAAACACTGAGGTATCCAAGACACCATGGTAAATAACGATATATGATAGAAAAGAGAATATATTTTTTCACAAAAGTTGATTATTTATATAAATTAAACAAATTGGTTCAAGTGGCTTGCTTAAAAAGAAAAAAACTTTTGTTTTCCATCTTGTATTTGATACTCACTCTTTAAGGCTATCTGACCGCCTCCTATTTCTTCCCCATGAAGAACTTCTACTTCTAGTTCTCCTTTGGCTGGGGCTTCTTGATCTCCTATGATCACTTGGAGAACAAGGATGACGTTCTTTTGATTTCATTTGGCCTGGTGCTAGAATATGAAGAACAAGGCTTATAACACAATTCATTACTTGAAAACCATAGTAACAGTCACTCAACTAGTATAATTTTCTGAAAGAATTTTAAATTAAAAAATCTGTCATTGTTGAAACTCATTTTGCTGAATAAACAAGATCTAATGTTTAGTCACACTTACTTTTGCGATCACCTTGTGCAAACTGTATTTCAATTTGACGGCCACATACCCACTTTCTATTGAGGTTATAAAGAGCATCTTCAGCATCTCGAACATCTTCAAATATGACTAGCTGTTAAGGACACTTTGAACATCAGATAGCATGTGAAAATATTTTTAAGGTGTTATTTAAATGTGAAATGAAATTAATCGGAAAAATAAGTTCTAGATATTAAGCTTATCTCTCCAATATGAATAATCAGAAAAAAAAATACTTTCACTATTTACTATGAAACAAATGCCCCATTATGATTTAGAGTGAATCCAAAGAATAGAAATGAACATGTTACTGTCCTTTTAATGTATACATTAGTTAGCTACAATATGCATTTATACTTTCAAACATTATGAGAAAAAAAATTAATCCAAAAAGGCTAGCATTATAAAATAAACTGTTTAGGACTCATTCCCTTCTTCAGATAAAGGATCCATCATATTTTCACTGAAAATATCAGCTTGCAAAAGTCTTTATTCTGAAATTAAAATTACTTTTCCATTAAAAAGTTTTCCAATTATGACATTTGGGAAAAATTACTTATTATAAACAAAGTTGTACACATACAAGTGACCTAAAACCCTTTCAAAAATAATATCCAGGGGCTGGGGCTGTAGCTCAGTGGCAGAGCGCTTGCCTAACATGCGTGAGGCACTGGGTTCAATCCTCAGCACCACATAAAAATAAACGAATAAAATAAAGGCATTCTGTCCATCTACAACCACAAAAATAAAAAAATAATAATATCTACCTTTGAATCTACCACTTTAAATAATGCCTTATGTTTACACTACTTGGAAAATAAACAAACATACTTGGAATAGAAATAAAAGAAACATAAAAGCAATTTATAGATATCTTAAATTAAAAATGTTGGTTTGAAATAACTCACTAATCTCCCTTATCTATATAAATTATATAATTTTAAACCTAAACTATAATGAATATTAGCTATATAAAATTATTAAATAGCTGTATTTCAGGAGGTTGTTGACTAGTTTTTTGTTTTTTTAAATAGCAAACAAAATAGCTCAAGAAATACAATATAAAATGAGACTGGCAATTACCTCAAAGTCACTTGATCTTGAACCTTGACCTTTACTCTTTAAGACTTGCAAGATGGACTTTATAAGAGACGCAGAACCAACAAAATCAGACTTGGCTTTGACTCTGGAACTCTGAGTAAATGTAGGAAAGCCGAAGTCTCAAAGTTGGCTTTGTCTTTTGCTTGATAAAGACTTCCCCTCTTCCAGGTCTTTATATCTGTGTCCACCCTCCCTCTTTACTCCTTGATGCTTGAACTTTAGGTGCCTTTTGTCTCGCCTGCTCGGTTTATGCTTGGATTCTAGCTAACAGGTTGGTTCAAACTGGGGGGCGCTTGCCAGCTACTGTGGACTGCTTTAGATTTTCTGAGATAAAGAAATAAACACATTTAATTAGGCAATGTTAACATCGTAACACAGGCTCCTGAATACATATATGTATAAGCACATGTATGCAATATATTCACATGCACATATTAAAATAAAGGATATTGAACATAAGCAAATCCTCTTGGGCGGCGAGTGTAGAAGTCAAGTGGAATGTAAACGTCTACTATAGGGCCATATCGACCAAACTCACGGCGCAAGTCCTCAGGCCTGAAGTATTTTAGAAATAAGGCAAAGAAATATGAATGGCTGGATTAAAATATTTTGCCTACAGAAATCCAGTTGAAACCTTCAAAAGAAATTACATCATCTAGTCTAGCATTATCTCATACTATCTTTGTTAGAATCAGTCAAAGTTTTGAAAAGAAGAAAAAAAGATAAGGAAAAAACCAGATTCTCGGTCCTCTCTCTTAGAAGCTGATTCAGGAAGTCTGGATTAAGCACTGGGAATCTACATTTTTACAAACACCCCAAGTGGTTATGCTTAGTCAATTTTGAGAAACACTGACCCAGCATATATGCAACTTTGAAAGTCATTCCCATAATAAGGCAGTTTCATTAAGAACACATTCATTTGCCTCACTATAATTTCATGTTTATGTTAATCTTTGTTTTCAGATAGCAAGAATTAGATTCTAAGGAAGTCCTAAAATTATTTCTTAGGCTTTAAGGAAAAATGGATGTTTTACTATTAAACACAAGGCAAAATAACTACTGTATTTTCAAATTTGATGGGTTATTTCAAGTCTTTTTTATGCCTTCTACTGCAATAGTACCCAGGAGGGGATACTAAAGAAATATATAGCATATTTGTCTTCATGGAGTTACAATTTAACTGAAGAGACAAAATATTTAGCAGTAATAAGTTGACTCTTATAATGCATTTATATACAGTCACTATTCATCTGAAGACTACTAATTCTTACAACTCTATGGTTGTTTACAGATGAGGATACAGACAAATTAGTCCTCCTGTCACTGAGCCTGCAAGTGACAGAGGTGGAACCTAACTTCCACAGTCTGATACTAATCTGTATTCATTTTTTTCTCTCTCTCTTCATTCATTCAGGTGCTTGGGATTGAACCCTGAAGTGCCACATCATCAGCCCTTTTTATTTTATTTTGAGACAGGATTTCACTAAGTTGTTTAGGGCCTTGCTAAATTTTGGAGGCTGGTCTTGAACTTGCAATCCTTCTGCCTCAGCCTCCTGGGATTACAAGCATAAGGACGACATCCCACTACTAGTCTGTGTTCTTAACCACTACACCATATTGCCTCATGGAGATCATAGGGATTCAGCATCAAGCATTGAGCATAAAGCATGACTCAGAAGAAATATATCGTATAACTTCTAGTTTGGGCAAAAGGAAGAGATATGTTGTCAACAACAAAAAATAGATGGTTGGAAAAGACACCTAGAATAAAGAAGAAGAGACAAGCAAAAGAAGCAGCTTTCAGGTTTAGAAATGCAGAATTTAGGATGATAATGGAACATTCATTAAGAGTTTTGTAAGTAACTAAAAATTGTGATTATAGAGATTCTATTATTTTCTCCAAAACTAGAAGACAAGTCAGTGATTAAGGCTAGATATTGGAGTTCAGGAGTTAATACATAAAGATTCAACTAACAGTGACTAAGTATCCACTATACACTAGGCAGCCAATATTATGACATACTGTATTTAACATTTACAGTAAAAGGTTTGTCTTCCCTGATAGACTATTAGTTTTAAAGGACAGTGGCAATGTCTTTTTTTTTTTTCACTAATTCATTCAACAAGTACTTATTGAGCACCTATTATGTGCCAGGCTCCAGGAATATGGTAGGGAACAAGAAAAACACAATTCCTATGCCCACAGAACAAACAATGGGAATAAAGAATCTCAATCCTTCTGAATACTGGAATCATTTAATAAGGGGATGTTAAGGAAACAGCTACCCCAGCCTGATGCATTAACTCTGAACCTAATTAGTGTTTCCCATAGTGAGGCACAGTTAATGTTTAATTTTTAAAGACTTTCTTAGGCAATTCTAAAACAGAAAGTTGGGAATCATTGATAAAGCAGGTGTCTTCACCACTGTACTTCTGGTGTTTAGTTGATGGACACACAGTAAAACACTTAATATATAGTTGTTTATTAATGAGCAAAGAACACAACTATTATTATCATTTAAGGGTAAATGAGACTTAGGATAACCGAAGTTACATTACCCAGACCAGTACAACGAGTAACAAAGCTAGAATTTAAATGAAGCTCTTCTAAGCACCTAATCTCATCAACCAAATGTGGGTAGGTAACAGGAAAGGGATTCTAGGGGCTGGGGCTCAGCGGTAGAGTACTCGACTAGTGAGGCGCTGGGTTCGATACTCAGTACCACATAAAAATAAAGATATTGTGTCCAACTACAACTAAAAAAATTATTATTTTTTTTTTAAAAAAGGAAAGGGATTCTAAGTAACTTAAAGAAAAAGGCTGGGCTGGGGATGTGGCTCAAGCAGTAGCGTGCTCGCCTGGCACGCGTGCGGCCGGGTTCGATCCTCAGCACCACATACAAAGATGTTGTGTCCGCCGAAAACTAAAAAATAAATATTAAAAAAAAAAAAAGAAAGAAAAAGGCTAGAGGGCTAAGGTTGAGGCTCAGTGGTGGAGCGCTCGCCTATCACAGGTGAGGCACTGGGTTTGATGCTCAGCACCACATAAAAATAAATAAAAATAAAGGCATTGTGTCCACCTACAACTAAAAATAAAATAAAATAAAAAATAAATAATAAATAAAAAGCTGGAGCTATATGTGTCACAGAGGCTTAGAATCCTAAAAGCCAAGGGTCAGAGTCTAAAGGAACAGATACCCTCAAAAACAAAACAGGACTGGAGATGCAGTTTAGTGGTAGAGCACTTACCTAGCATTCATGAGGCCCTGATTTTAATTCCCATTCATTGTCTCCACTCCCTCACTTGTTGGCTATAGTTTTATCATTATTTTTGCATTTATGGTGTAATTTAGTTCAGCATACTTAGAATTTAGAATTTACTTCAACATTTAGAACTACATATATTATCGAGGAGTAGCATTCTATACATTATAGAGGCATTTAACAGAATTTTTGGTGTGATTTACTTCATATTTACAATTATACACATTATAGAGGATTAGAATTATATACATTTGGAGGAATTTACTGCAAAATATTTATAATTATATACATTATAGAGGATAAAACAAGTACCCAGGTATCCATCAAGATTTATTTTATCTAAATACTTGCCACATTTCCCATAATTTTCAGTATTTTTTGTATTTATATTGCAGTGTTGAGGATCAAACCCAGGGCTTTGTGAATGCTAAGCAAATGCTCTAGCATTGAGCTATCTCTCCATCCATGTGTGAGTGCTTGTGTACTTATATACTTTTTTCTTTTTTTAGAAATCAGACATTCTACCCTTCTATTTTAGAAATAGTCACTGATGTTCCTCATTCTCCTGAATAACTATATTTTTACTACAAATGTTTTTATCCATAAATGTTTATATATATTCATGTTAAATGTTGTACAGAAGTTGGACTTGGTGGCACACGCTGTAATCCCAGTGGCTACAGAGGCTGAGGCAGGAGGATTACAAGTTCCAGGCCTGCCTCACCAATTTAGCAAGGTCCTAAGCAACTTCGAGAGACCCTGTCTCAAAATAAAAACCAAAAAGGACTGGGGATGTGGCTCAGTAGTAAAATTCCTCTGGGTTCAATCCCCAGTACCAAAAAAAAGTCAGTCTTGTTTTAAATCTTGTATAAATGGTACCAGATTATTTGTCTTGCCTTTGTTCCCCTTGAGATTTTTCCATGTTGCTTTAGTTCATTCATTTAAACTCTTTATGATACTGTTATGAATAAAAACAACTCAGCCACCCCAATTTAATCACCCATTGTTCTGTGGATGAACATTTAAAATGCTTCATTAAAAAATCCGCCCCCCCCCCCCCCCCCCCCAGTATTGGAGATGGAACTCAGGACCTTACACATGCTTACACATGCTAGGCCTGAGCTACATCCACAGTGCTCCTCCCATCTTTTTTTATAATTTTGAGACAAGGTCTCACCAAGGTTGGGCTGGCTTCTTCTTCTTCTTATTTTTTTTTGGTACCGGGAATTTAGCTCAAGGGCACCCAACCAGTAAGCCACACCCCCAACCCTATTTTTAATTTTTTTTTGTGTATGTGTGTGTGAGTGGTGCTGGGGATTGAAACCAGGGCCTCATGCAAGCGAGGCAAGCATGCTACCAACTGGGCTATATCCCCAGCCCACCTTATTTTATATTTTTTATTTAATGACAGGGTCTCATTGAGTTGCTCAGTGCCTAGCTTTTGCTGAGGCTGGCTTTAAACTGTAGATCTTCCTGCCTCAGCCTCTCGAGCCACTGGAATTACAGGCATGGACCATGGCACCTGGCCAGGCTGGTTTCTTGCAATCCTCTAGTTTCAGCCTTTCAGTTAGTTGAGAATACAGGAATGCCCGACTAAAAAAATGTTTAATTGTAAACTGTGCTTCCTAGGTTTTGCTAAAATTTTCAGGTATGCATCACTAGCAAAGGAATTGGTAAGTTGGATAGTATGCCCTTCTTCAGCTTCACTACTCCAAAGTGAGTAAACCAATTTATACTCACCTAAGACATGTATTAGAATTCCCCTTGTGCCCACTTTTTCATTAATACCTTTTAATCCCTGCCATCCTGAAGGATATGGAGTAAATGGGTATCTCATCATTTTTATTATTATTATTTTTTGAAACAGGTTCTCACTACATTGTCAAAGCTGGCCTTGAACTCACTCCTGGGCTCAAGTAATATTCCTGCCTCAGCCTCCCAGACAGCTGGAAGTACAGGCAAGTACTACCACACCCAGCTTTTTTTTTTTTTTTTTGGTATCAGGGATTGAATTCAGGGGCACTCAACCACTGAAAAACATCCCCCGTCCCATTTTTTTTTTTTTTGAGGGAGGGTCTCACTGGGTTTGTTACCACCTTTTTTTTTTTTTTTTTTTAGTTGTAGGTGGGCACAGTTCCTTTATTGATTTATTTATGTGGTGCTGAGGATTGAACCCAGTGCCTCACACATGTTAGGTGAGACTCACACATGTTAGGTGAGAACTCTACCACTGAGCCACAACCCCAGCCCCAGCAGCACCTCGCTTTTGCTGAGGCTGGCTTTGAACTCGT